GTACTTGTTCCTAAATCTTATGGTTCAGTTAGATTCTGCAAAGTAAATGCTTTGACGAAAACAGATTCCTATCCTATTCCAAGAATGGAGGATTGTATTGACAAAATTGGAAAAGCCAGATATATCACAAAGTGTGACTTACTAAAAGGATACTGGGCTATTCCTCAAACTGACAGAGCAAAATAAATATCTGCTTTGTTACTCCTGATGGATTATATCAGTACAATGTAATGCCTTTTGGGATGAAATTCTCAAGCAACTTTTCAGCAAATGATGAATCAATGTCTCAACAATCTGTCAGATGTTGGAATTTATGTTGATAATTTTCAGTGACACCTGGGAAGAACATTTACATGGATTACATGATGTTTTTGACAGCCTCAAGAAAGCCAGTCTCACTGTAAATTTGGCAAAAAGTGACTTTTGTAAAGCCAAAGTTGTTTACTTAGATCATGTAGTAGGCCATGGCCAAGTTTCTTCAATTCAAGCCAAAGTTGATTGAATTGTGAATTATCCAACTCCTACTAAAAAGAAATGTTTAATGAGATTTTCGGGAAAGTTTTGTAAAAATTTTGTTGACATCACTGTACCATTAATGAACCTGTTGAAGAAAAATCAAAAGTTCAAGTGTTAAACTGCTTTTGAAAAGGTCAAATCTTTATTGTGCACTTACCCTGTATTGATGTCACCTGACTTTGATAAGCCCTTCGCTGATGCCAGCGATTTTGGTGCTGGTGCTATTCTATTAAAATCAGTTGAGAAAGGTATTAAACACCCTGTTTGTTATTTTTTTAAGAAGTTTAATTGTCAACAAAAGAATTATTCTACTGTGGAAAAAAGAAACTTTGGCTCTAGTGTTAGCTTTAGAACATTTCAATGTGTATGTATCTGCATCACAACAACCTATTGTCATTTACACTGATCATAACCCGTTGAAGTTTTTGAACTGAATGAAGGGCAAAAACAGAAGATTGTTAAATTGGAGTTTATTATTACAAGAGTATGATTTGAAGATAATTCATGGCAAAGGGGTTGATAATATTTGTGCTGATGCACTTTCACGTGCTATGTAATTTTATTATTATAAGGATATTTGCACTGGTTGTGTTATATACTGTCATGATTATAGAAGTTATATAACTCTTTGATAATGTATTGTTGTCTATGTATATACATAATATCTTACTTAAAAATGGTCTAATGCCAATTTTTAATTCTCCAAGGAGGAAGGCCTAACGAATTTACTATCATATATCTATTTTAATATCAATGTTTGTTTAGATTAAGTTTATATTTAGAAATGTACATCACTTGTGCTGTTAAATCTGTATTGCGAAATCCCCGTCTATTCACTAAATTGTAGAAACTTTCAAGTATAAGAATCAACAATATATGTGTGTACAAAAACACTGGTGTATGATTTATATTTTTGCATAAACTGAAATTTCAAGAAACTCTCCCTTTACCTATAAATACAACCAACGCAACATGCCAAAAGATAGTATATATATATATTATTGGTTTGCTATAGTTGGTGTACAAAAACCTCAGAAGCTATAACTGTGATTATTATAATGCTTATTAATCTAGAACTTTAGATATGTGACCAGGAACGTTTATAGATTTCAAATATTACAAACTATTTATCTTCAGCGGATTCACATTGGACATTAGTATTTTTACAAGATCATTATATAACTTCATTGGTGGATAACTCAGCATTTATGGTAGGTAAATAATGAAGAACAGAGCTAGCTAGCTCCCTGTTAAGTGAATTGTATCTACATCAACTCAAAATTAATTCATTCATTGTGAACCCTCGATAAGATATCAAGGAAGTTCCAGACCAAATAGAGGATTCAATATTGTTTGTAAACCTTTTGTACATAGATCATTATTTGTAATAACTGTTATTGTAAATTGTGTTATTGTTTGTATACTAAAATATATTTGTATTAAAAAACAAAAACTGTGTGTATCAACCCTCTGCACGTTTTTCTGAAGAATCACATTACTCAAAAATACAGCTTTCCATTTCATCCAGTCTTTTTAGTTAAATTTTATTTAGTAGATTTTGGCAAAGTATTTTAATCCTTATAAACATTTGACAATACGAAAGAGGACAACCGATGGGAAATAGTTCCATTTACAACTATCATTTCATTTCATTGCCAAAGTATAACAAGGGACTATTTGATCTATCTAGGCTCTTCCATTTTCTAATACCACCTGATTCCAAACTACGTATAAAACTCCTTTCATATCTCCAATCCTGATCACCAAGATACTCATTAAGTCTTTTCTTAAACTATCAGTGTTATAGAATGTTAGTTTTCACTACACCTGATGGGAAACTATTCCATAGGCCAACCACCCTATTATAAAAATTACTCTGTCTTAATTGGAGTTGTGTCTGAGTTTTCTATATTTTTGTTACATATTATAATTTCAAATAGCCCAAGACCGAGTTAAATGATAATTCAGGTTTATAAATTAAATATATTTTGAATGTATCCAATTTATGATACTTGCCAACAACAAGGTAAAGAAAGTTGCTATATAGGCTTGCTGATCACAATCAACCTGCCAACTAATGCAAGCCTATCATGCACACAATGTTTTGTCAGTATATGTATTATAACTGTAAACCAGAAAACCTTTACACACACACACACACACACACAACAAAAAGCATAAAATAAAAATTTACTTTTGTTTGGATTTTCAAAACCTTTTAAACTTAAAAAAACAAACAATAGCTGGAGTTAATGTGACTCCCCAAGAGTGTTAAAGGATGCTATGGATTGGATATGTGAACCACTTAATACGATATTTTTTTGTAAGTCTTTGAATAGTGAACAGGTGCCACAGGATTGGAAGATGGCTAATGTTACTTCTCTTTTCAAAGGAGGTGATAAAAATTGTCCCAGTAATTACAGGCCTCGTAGTATCACATCAGTTGTGGGGAAAAGTTTGGGTTAACTAATGGAAAATCTTGCCTTAAAAATCTTTTGACATTTTTTGAAAAGGTTACTGCTTATGTAGATTAATGTTAGGATGTACATTTGGTGTATCTGGATTTTCAGAAACCATTTGACAAGGTGCCACATAAAAGGCTTGTAAAAAATTATCTCTACAGGTGTGGGGAATAAATTAGCTTATTGAATAGAAAAGTGACTGGATGAAAGAAAGCAGAGGGTTGTTATAAATGGAGTTCACTCAAACTGGATTAATGTCACAAGTAGAGCACCTCAGGGCCCAGTCTTAGGACCTTTGCTCTCTTTGATTTTCATCAATGATATAGACAGAGGAATGCTCAATAAAATAC